ATGGCACATGCGCATAAGTCATTTCAGACCAAATGCCAGTATTGCCAAACGTGTAATAATGTTATCCCTTTAAATTCGGAAAATATATGGAGTGAAAACTTTGCTGGAAACTAGGAAATATGCCTTAAGACAAAAATCATAATCAGAACATTTGACAAAAATGTGTCTTTTTTTTTCCTTTAAATTGCTCTTTCACGATTGCAAATATGACAGAGGCAGACAGACTGCTCACCATCAGCTCTGGGGAAGTACATATAGAAATAGAAATGGTAATATAATTGAAGTACTGGAAGATGAAAACTTAGTAATTCCTAATGACGGAACTCCAACTCGTATGAGTAATCCCACGTGCAATCCTAGCTCTGTAGATATTACATTATTATCAATTGAAATTGCCCTAAATGCAACTGGGAAGTTTTAGATGACTGTGCAAACAGTGACCATTTCCCAACAATGTGTAGATTGGATACTGGGATACTGGGGTGGAGATTCAACTGAAAAGAAAACGCGAATATTCCGGAAAGCAAATGGGTGTTTATATCCAGTGGCGGATTTAGGCTTGATGCCGCCCTAGGCTCTGTTCATTGCGCCGCCCTTATATTTGTGCATGCAATGGGCTAAAAATATTGTTTCGTATGATAAATGTTCAAAATGTATCACAATGAAAATTTCTGGAGTTCATGAAGGGGCAGGAATTTATCAAATAAGAGGTTTGACAACACCAACAGACTTGTTTTTACCCTCTCAAACCATTGCAATGTATAATTTCAAGGATTTTTTACACCTTCAGAGACTACCTATTCAGGATATGGTAGATATAAATCCCACTGTTCTCATAGGTCAGGACAATATCCTTCCAACAGTNGATTTGCTGTCAACTGGGCTTACTTCTACTCTCAATCATTATTGGTTTTAGTATAAAACTAGTTTGGGATAGGTTATCCATGATAATACCTCAGAATCTGATCAAAATGTATGTAACATTCACATATTTTCTTGCGAGAACAATGATGAACTGAATCGTCTAGTCAGGGAATCTTTCAGTACCAAATCATTTGGCGTTTCCATTGCTCATAGAAGAGCTATTGATATTTTGGAAAAAAAATACTGTTTAATTATAAAATGAAAAACAATGGGAGACAGGGCTGATTTGGAAAAATGACAACGTAACTTTACTAGAAAGTAATTCAAATGCTATGAGGTTGATTTGTATTGAGAAAAAAATGTTGAAGGATAAATCATATTCTCATCAGTACTGCAACAAAATCAGTCACTACTTGAAAAAGGTACATTCGAAAATTATAAACTCAAGAGGTAATTGAACAAAATTCTCACACATGGTGTCTTCCACGGTGTTGTGAACCCTAATAAACCCAAAAATACAGTATTAAAGGAAATTACAATGATGCTAGAGTTGCATTTCCTTTCGCAAATTCATCTGAGATATAAGTAATTATCTATAAGGGCAGTTGTAATTAACTGCCAGAAATCCATGTTGATTGGGGTTCAGTGAATTCTTTCTTTGTAAATAATTAAATTTTATAAACCCATTCAAGTGATTTTGATAAGATTGGAATAAAGAACTTCTTCGATTGACGACTTGTTTATTTTGTGGAAATTCATGTTCACTGAGGATACACTACAAAAACACACTTTTGTCTATTTTCCACTATATTTCTTTATTGTTGTGGAATAAAGAAGATTGGATGGTAATTATTTTGGCTAACCTTAAATTTGAAGAGATCTGAAAAAACACCTTCTTCAAAACAGGCATTGATGAGAATAGTTTTAGAACTGATTATTCATGTTAACCAAATTTCAAGATAAATCGCTGTTTATTCC